ACATTAGTGTAACTCGGTTTAATATGTATTTATGTGCGCACGTAATAGAGGATGACGTGCAGCCAGGCCGAGGGCAAAAAGCTATGCAGCTTTTTCGCTCCGCAGTCGGTTGATTATAGCTAGGAGGTGCGGATCTGCTCAGTCAGACAGACATGACGCGCTAATGAAATTCTGCATGTACATCGTACGCAATTACTTTTTTTGTCGGTGCTATCTGATATGATGAATTTTGCAGTGTTATGTTTATTGAAGGCTGCAAAAATTATCCTGAGACGTAGACTGAGATGATTTGACTTTTAAATCCTGAGTTTATTAAAGGAATTATGGCACGTACAATAGGTCTGTACACGGAACAATAGTTTTTGTGCCTTTCTTCTTGAAGGTAGCTTGCAAATACGATGTTCATTGCAAGGCCAAGCTACCTCAACAAAAATTTAATAATAATAATAATAAAATTGAATAATCTGATAAAATTATGACAAATGATAATGTTTAAAGTTTTTATCTTAATTAATAAATAGATCTATTTAAATTTGAACTATACATATAAGTTTAACTATCGTATTATGAATGACTCATCATCCAGTTAAATTTTAGGTTGGAACTTTTTTAATTTTTTTGATCATAAAAAGTATGAATGATTTCACTCGTGTCTCTGCTTACAGAGCACATGTATTACGTCAGGGCTCATTGTGGTTCAATTTTTTTATGCTTTGCATTTTATACAAGCATGCAAAGAATGTGCGTGGCGAGGCGTTTTTCTTCTTTCATAACATGCAGAGGAGCCCATTGTTTCGTGTTTTTACGCTCCAAGGCGACTTTTGTGAATGAATTTTGTGCGCAACAAAGGGTGATGATGCTTGACCCAAAATAATGAATTTAACAGCAGCCGCCTGATGCGCATTTTGTATTCAGCAGTCAAATGGCCATGAACACTCCTCGCTCGAGAATGAAGGCGCGAGTGCAGTGAAATTTCACACCTTCCTTATGGGGTGGAACAAATCAGGGCACTAATTAATGCATGCGCGAATGATTGGCTCGACTTTGTCAGTAGATCAGCTTAAGCTGGCGACATTCGAAAACAAAACAAAAAAGAGGAGAAATAATACAATTATAATATTATAAACTTCCATTGTAATGCCAGCAATTACAATCAATAATTGGAAGAAACAAAAATACATTTTAAATGAAGCATTTTTTTCAATTATTTGTGTCCAAAAATAAATTTTTCTCAACATTTTTTGTGAAGTAATGATTAATACTAGTAATCTGTGCTTTTATAAACATTAAAAATACCCCAATCAAAAATGGTATATATTGAATTTTTTTACACTACGGTTCATTAGGTAAAAATAAATGGTGTGTCACACTGACAAAAATCCCCGTTTTTATATTAATTTTCCTCGTATGCATTGATACCATAGCAATGCCCGCCTCTACACTTCACACAATATACTCCAGCACACAAATCACACCTCGATTTTCCTCTATTTTTTTTTAAAGCAGCTGCAGATTTTTTTCCACTTGCATTCATTTATTTGACCACACAAGTATTTCCGTTTCCGCAAGTCGCAATTTAGCAGCGTTTGCTGTTCTCCGTTGAACGCGAGTCAAGGAACTCGCGGTGCCAGAGCGACACATTATAATTTATGCACACGTATGTGTGTGTGTGTTTAAGTACATAGTATGTCAGCTGCACACAGGTGCTTGTGTGTGTGTGTGTGTTTGCTGAGCGCAGGCGGTTCGAGAGTGTGCTTAAATTAGCACACTGCAGCTATCAATGAAAGCAAAATCAGCGAGTCGACGACTTCAACAATGTGCGACGGAGAAGCGATGCGTCATTTAAATCTCGTTCCGGAAATTTCTACAGTACCACTTTGAACCTCAGAGTGAAGGGCAACTGATGACTAATACAGGGCAATCAACCGTGCTCCACAGGGATTTTCCATCTTGCACCATTTTTCTATTAAACTTGATTTTATTGATCCTTGGGCATCTCCCTGAGGTCAGAATAAGAGAATCGGAGAAAGGAACTAAAGTAACTTTATATAATACACGGCGAATGATTATAATTATATTATGTAAAATGTAAATTCTTAAAAAAAAAATAGATTTTCATTAATAGTAAATTTTAGCACCATTCCATAAATAATAATTTCAGACGTGAAGTGAAGAATAAGATCATTTTTTAGCGTTAACATCAATGTGAGTATTGCTATGGAGCATAGTTTCACAATGTTAATGTAATAATCATATTATTGCAAAAAAAAAAAATTACTGAAAAGTTATAATTTTTTTTAATTGCTTTTACAAATAATTTATTCCAAATCGTGTAAGTGGCAAAATTAATTATGACATTTAAATTTTTTTATTTTATTGATCAAAACAAAACAAAAATAATTAATATCCAAATCTGAAATTTTTAAATGCATCAAATTATTACCATTCCTTTAAAAACACCGTTGAGTTTAAAAAACTTAATAAGAAAAACTTGGCACGTCCTCCTAGTAAATATAAATTCTAGGAAATTCCATTGAACTTTCACATAAAGAGTCAAAGCAGACAGAATCTTCGCGAATTATCTCGATTTGATCTGGGTCAAGCCTGGTTAACTTTCTTATCTCTCCTCACCCGCTTCTTTTTGGCAAGATCAATAATTTCAAAAAGTGTAACACCCCGTTTCGAAAAGAGAGATAACAGATAATATTATAATGTTACGCGTATAGAGTGCGCGCGCCATAAAATGATTAATGAAGAGGCTCGGCTGCTCGATTTTCAGCATACGCGAGAGGCGCGGTGCGCGCGGAGAAAGTGCATAATCAGAGGCCTTCTCGTGTTTACAAACACGCCGAGCTTTCTTTCAATCGAACGCCGGGCTAAACTTCATCGTCAAGAGCGAGCTGTCAATGCGCAAAATAATAAATCCTTACGAGGAGAAAAGTTGCGCAAGAAGTGGAACAAAAGATGTGATGATGCGAAATGATCAACCTTGCGTCGGCCGAGAGCTAAATGCATTTTTATTTGCGTGTTGTGACTGTGCAGTGCAATTAACGCCGCGACTTAGACCAGTCAACTCGCAGCATCCGACGAAATGACCTTTGCAGAGAGAGACGTGGAGTGGAAACTGATCGCTTTAACTGTCGTCTAGCGCAAACTCAAATGAGCAAGGTTGTGGCCACAAGAATGTCTTGCAATTCTTCAAGGAGGAAGTTTCAGTAACAACTGCATTCGCGATTTTGTCATTTTAATTATTACATATTATCTTTAATTAATTGCAAAGTATTTATTTTCTTAAATTCATGTCATTAAATAACTGCTTTTGATTACGTCACTCATTACTGTAAGAAGTAATAATTAATTTTTAAATGGATGCTTAGTAAGAATTATTATTTTAATTAGAAGATTAATTGAATGTTACTAACGTTGAATCATGAAAATTATTGGTAATTATTTTATTGCTGATAATGCGCCATTTTTTAGTTGACTGCGGTGGTTATCTTTGTAATTGCTTAAAATTTGCAGAGTGGCGGCAAAAAGAAAAGGTTTATCCAAGCACCATATTTTTTTTACCAACAAATTATCAAAATCGTCTATTGTCAATTTAAAGAAAGTTTGCATTCAAAGTTGAATAATGAAATATATTAGCAAAATTTATAATTATGTTTTACGGCTTAAAATTTAAATAAGAATTGAAGCCATAAAATACCACATGATATCATTAAAAATATAAAAATACATGATTATATTCCATTCTAATTTTTTTTTAATTATGTCAATAACCTATTTTCGTGGATTCATATTTCTAGCTATTATGAGGAACTGGAACTTTACTGATGTAATAAACTGCTTTTATAATTGTATTGATGATCGCAATATTTTTCAAGGGCAGATTCAAGCGAGCAATTTTTTTTCTTGCGCAGTAAATTTTTAATTCGACATCCGCAAGTTAAATAAAATTATTCAGGTATTCATCAAGCCCATACGCATTCCGCGCATGATCGGTTTATTTAATTTGCTCATTCCTGGTGTTTCGAACTGAATAGGCAAGCAAGCGACTGCTTGAATAAGCAGCGCTCGGAATGGAAGCAGAAGAAATCCAGCCTATCTTTATAGTTATGTAACAAACTCGTTCAAGCAAAAAGCACGCAGATCCGCACCATGGCAAATAATACGAATTGTGGGATTTTTCGCGATCTCACAGGTAGGCCGCTGGCAGGGAGGGGGAAAAACAACAATTCTAGGGAGAAAAGTGAAGGTCGCGAATGAGAAAAATGCGCAAAGGCGGCGGCCGGCCGGACGAGATCGAGCAGCCAACGGGACTCAAATCATGGAGGATGCACAAGCACGTGGTCGCGAGAGAGCAACAACGCACCTCGCCGACGTCGCGTTCTCGAGCCACCTGGAATGCGAGTGAGTTCGCGGCCACGACTTCCGATAACGTGTTAAAATGGGGGTGCCGCGACCCTCTATCGCCTGTATCGGCGCCCAGGCCGGCGCCTCGCTTGTTTTTCGCACGAGAACAGCAAACTTTGAAGTAAATTTTAATTAATGGGAAAACCTAGAAAGACTCTACTGTAAAAAAATTATAAAACTCTTTAATGAATGAAAAAAAAATTAAATTAAAAAAATCAATGGAGTGTTATTTTGAAGAAAAGAAAAATGTAATTTTAGACAACAACAAAATTAATGAAATACTTGCAATGTACAATTTTGATATTAAGCATTGCATCTTATTTAAAAAATGTCAACTAAATATTATTTTTAATCATAACTATAAATAAAATTTGTCACTTTGAAGAGTTAATTATTTACAATTTATATTTTTGTATTAAATCAAATTAGTTTATAAGATTATAAACTAAAATATTATCACAATTATGTTAATAATAAGGGTTATTTTTGCTATGGAGGATTCATTATTTTGTCACAACCCCTTTTTCGGCAGTGAAGGGTTGTTTGTTTGTGCTAGAAATAGAGGAAAATTAAAAAATTATACTCACTACTTTCGACGGCAATTTCAACGGTGTGCGAGGGTGTCGGGGTCGTCTGCGGGACTGCGGTGGTGGTGACGGCGACCGGGGTGGTCGGGCTGTCGGTGCACGACACAGGGTGGACTCGCGAGAGACAAAGGACGAGGGCTGCACAGCAAGTGACGATTGTTTGCATCCTCAGCGCACCATTTGCCATATCGGGCTTTCGGGCGCCCTCACTGCACGCGGGGTTGGGCCGGCGAACAAGGGTGGTTTTCGGCACTGTGAACTTTGGCGGGGGTTTGTTTGTGTCTGTCTCGACCGACACGGCAGCTGCGAGCGTTTGCTTGCGTGCCTGGCTGCGACTGAGGAGAGCGCCGAGAACAGGTAAAAACCCGGTTGTTTCGCTCGCTCGGCAGGCCAGTGAGCGCGCGCCGCGTGAGAGGGGCGCCAGGGGAAGGCCTTGCCTTGCTTTGGGCCCGGGGTGGGGGTACATCGTACGATGTGGCCCGCAGGAGCGGTGGGGCTACGTCTGCGCGCCTTTTCGCTCGCTTTGATCCTGCCGAGAGTGCTGCTGCACAACAATGCAAAAAAGCAGCGACCCCGTCTTTCTCTCCGAAGGGAGGGTTGTGCTCGGCCCATTGTTGGCCACAGCTGTAAAAATAATTATTCATCTTTACTTTTCTTCCGACTAAAGCTGACAGAAAAAAATAGTTTTATAAAGACCGGAATGAATTGGAAATTTTAGGGCAGATTTAAAATATTGGAAAAAACAAATCGTCTTAAATTAAAAAAAAAAAACAATTTTGTCAACGAGGAAAAGAGCCCGATGTAATGTAAATGTAACTTCAATGTGATTACACAATATTATAATTTTGATTGCTTAAGAATTTATTGAATATCGTTTAATGAATGAGCACACGTTGAGAAGTATATTCTGTATTTTTAATCTCGGCAAAATTTGCGTACAACATAAATATGAAGATTCCTTCCTTTTTTTATGGTCTCTGCAGATAAGCTTATTGTTTTTTTTTTATAAAGTTCACAGATCAAAGTAAATTACAAAAAGTTTCAAACAAATTTAAAAAAAAAAAATTATAGAAATGGTGCACACTAAAACAAATCTTATCCCACATTCAGAGTCCTTAGATGCGCTTGAATTAAATACACAAGCAAATTATATAATGTCTCGCAGAGAAATTGTGGCCGTGCGTCCTTTTGCAAAGCATGTCTTTTTTATTGAACTGATTGCGCGCTACAACTGCAAGTAAAATCTAGACGTTTTTGCGTGGCAGCCTCTCCCGAGTACAAATTAATTTGCAAGCGGCAGAGATTTGCGCGACCGAACGCAGAAAAACTAAATTAATTTCTCCAGGGAAATTCACAATCAAGAAGAATTTCCTTTCCAGGCTCATTTTCCTGTAGAAAATTATTCTCTTTGAACTCCGCGCACGCAGCGACTACTGTCTGCGATTTCAATTTTAGTTGATTTCAATCTGAGCCTTACATAAATCTCATTTTAAAAATAAAACAAAATTGGAAAAAAATTATGAACAAGTAGGGTTTGTTCTGAAAATTATTACATTTTTTTATTCTAGAATAAATGATCATTAGTATTCAACTCTCATTAGTAACATTTTACATTATAATTTTAACCATAATAAAAATAATTTTAGTCACACTTTATATATTATGCTCATCTGCTCAAATTTGTTTTTATTTAGTGTACTTACAGAAATATTAAGTATTCTGAAAACTCCACTAATCTTGTACATTTTTTCTAAATATTTTACAATTTAGTACAATTGCACATTTAAAAACATCTAGATGTTTTCTATATATGTTGCTATAAAAACAATTTTTTAATGCATTTCTTTCTATAAAATAAAAGTATGTATTTTAATATGAAGAATAATTGGCGCTTGAGGAGAAGATTATGGAAGTGAGGCTCGTCCTTCTAATATGTATATTTAGTGATTTTTATTTAATTTATTTTTAAGATTGAGACAAACCAAGAAAGTTGAATTGCTTAGAGATTCTTTCAAAGGAATAGATTAATATTGATTCATTGACGTAAAATTTTTGAGCCAATAAAATTTATTTTTAATACTCGAGGAAATTTTTTGTTACTTTTTTTTACTACAAAATTTTTTTGCATGCGAGACAAACAAAATAAATATTATTGGGGCGCAATGATCGTATGAGGATAGCAAATTTTCATGCAGTGAAAACATTTAACACAACGTGGCAAGGGCAATTCCACGTCCGCAGTTATTGAAAACTGCTGGTGCCTATTTGACGCGTTTGATCGGAGATGTCCACGCTGCCATTATAGGCAATATTCAAATGAGATCGGAATTGGCTTTGCAGTGAGGTCAAGAAAAGGGTTAACGCGGAGTATATTTTACAATAGCCGCTCCCAACTCGAATCCCACGACCTCGCTAAAATAAAGTCACTATGGTGCGGCCACATGCGTTTCACGATCAGCCTCACTACTTGCCACCGCACCGACAGACACATTTTCCAGCAATGTATATTTATTGCTTATTCGTGTACGCCATCGGAATACAAATAAAGCTCGCCCCTATTCTCTTTTGAAGAGAACATCTTCTTTTCTAGACGAAAACAAATTTATTTAATTTTCTGTATCAAATTAAATATTGCGAAAGGGGACTTGTAAATACATATTAATTGAATACTGAGCAATACAAATAAAAATTAATCAATTTTCAATTAAATTTACAACTAACTTCAAAGAAATAAAAGTTTCTCATTTATTAATGTAAATAAATTATTTTTAAATTGACAATCACCAAAGAAAAGGGATTGTCTCATCGTCCATCTGCCGTTGACCAATGATCATCCTGTCTTGGCAAATGTACATAACAGACGATTTGTTTGTTATAGACTGGGTTATGTAGTGACGCCGTTCTCGCTTTAATTGCTTCTCCGGTCCCATGCCAAATCAGCTGCTCGCGAATTGGCGTGAATAATGCGTCGGGCCCTCTTTGTTTGAGTTTATTTTCGGCGCGCGTGTCAAGGAGCTTCGGTCGAATCTCTTACTCCCAATAAATCACGTGTCTCATATTGGCAAAGCCAAATATTTGTTTCTGCAATGACAAATATGGTATGAGAAAAGACTAGAGAGCTTATTGGGTCTTTGACCAAAATACACAGAAAAAAATGCAAGCCAGCAATGGAAATTATAAGGAACAAGTACAGGTACAAAATGGACCAAATCTAAGAATAAAAATTTCAGAAATTGTTTCTACATAAAAAAGCTATTATCTGGATTTAAACTTGTAAAATTAATTACTTTCACAATTCATTAGAATAGCTGCGGATAGTTTTATCTGATTTCAATTTTAATTAATGCTAATATGATTAAAAATCAAATCACATATTCTACTTTAGCTTAAATTCTTCAATCTTAAAACTTAAATTATAGCCTATCATTTTAATTGTCTGACACATATGAAAGTGGAATTCAAATATTGAAAGATTGCCAATTATTTTAATTTTTGATTTCATTACACTGCAGACTTTATTTAACTTTAATATATATTGTATTTATCAAGACAATTTGCTGTGTATCAGACTTAATTTTTTTTTCATTTTGTCTTTCAAAAACTTTTTTACTGCTCCAAAAATTGAGTGCAATTAAAACTGGCTGAAGTGTGTGACGATTGAAGCTCAACTATTAATCCCTGCAATAAGAGAACATCTTTCCCTCCGCAAAGAGCAAGATTGGCTGCGAAAGGCAGCTCAGGGAAAATTGGAAGCAATCTCGCGTGACTGTCGGGAATACGAGTCCTGGCTGGTATCTCGGCTTGGCATTAATTGCAAGTAATGGTAATTAGAACTGCTGACGCAGGTCTTGGTCCGCAGGAGACGCGCGGCCAGCAGATGATTTTGAAGCCCCTAACACGGCGGCAAGCGCGAGACCAGCAGTCGTGTAACACCAACTTGGCACAGCACCAATCTAATACTTTGAGAGCGTCCGTATTATACATGGTGTATGCATTGAAATGGTAGTCGCCGGCATCGCACTGCATAAAATAATACCGCGTCAAATTGAGCTCAGCCTGTGATGCAGCTCCAACACATCCATCGGTCGCTCCACAGCTTCTGTACTGTCGCCACCAAGATCATTTGCATCTATATAGAAGAGAGAAGGGCGTATAAATAAAAATGTTTACTGTTAACAGTGCTGTGAATTTGAATTAAAATAATACTCTCAAGAGAGCGTTCATTTCGCAAAACTAATAAGAAATAAAATTATCTGGCAGCCGGAAGGATCTTCAACATACTTTTTATTGCTGGTGTTTCAGATTTTTTGATAAAAATGAAAAGCTAAATAATTTTTATTATTGGGCTTATATTTTATCAAGGTGCGAACAAGTAAAATATCTTTTTGTTTTAGCCTGTAAAAATCAAAGAATTGAAAGTGAACAAATGGTATCAAGTTGAAATTTTTACCTTATTGTAAGTAAATAAAATGTAAAAACTCTTGATCTTAATTAAACTTGAAGCTTCTTAAAAGTTTTGCAATTTTCCCTATTCGAGTTTATTCTTTCATTTTCCTTTTTTCTATTTAGTACCATTTCACATCTGCTGCAAATATTGATTTCGATTTCAATCCCGTCGTGTTTACAAAGCCGGCGCTAAACAAAAACTTTCTTGCTTTTTATGACCAACAAAGCAGAAATCAAACATTCAGATTAAGCCGAGTGTGAGAGCGCAGACCAAGCGAAGGGCTAAATGTGTCGCAGTATAATAGAGGCGGCAGGAAACAGCTGATGCACCAGCAGTGTTAAATTTAGCAACCAGTGTGCCAGAAGAGAAGCAAGAGCGATTCTCTCTCTCACTCACAACAAAGGACACGGAGCGCTTTTCAAATGCACGTACAGTGCAGCAGGCCGGTCGTCAGCACTGCGATTACGTCGCTCTTGAATTGCAGCTCTATGGTCGAAAATAATTTAATGGATGGGGCGACTCTCGGACGGTCCAATCAATGAGGCGTCAGGTGACCTCGTGTGATCCGGCTCGATCGTTTGCCAAGTGCATACTCGTTGTTTTCAATGGTTCGCTCAAATCTCAGTCACAAGGGGTACCAAATTTAACTGCCCCTCCGTTGCGGATAAGGGAGTTGCTTCTAGAGAGAATTGCACGTCAAGTTTTCGCCGTTTTCGGCAGGGCAGTCAAGCGCAGTCACGCGTGAAATTGATTCGCAAATTTTTTGCCTCCGAAAAATAAAAATTTAGTCTTTTTTACTCTGACGAAAAGAGGAACCTTTATACAGTATCCAAAATAGTTGATAATTACACTTGAAATTCTCCGGAACACATTTTAAGATATATTTTTTGCCCTCATT